CTCCCTGCCGGCGCCACCGCTCGAGGGCTCGTCAAGGAGCGGCTGGCGGCGCTTGCTGAGCATCGCCTCTTCCCCGCAGCCCGCGACGTCTCTTCCCGGGGCCGCAATAATGGACCTGGAGATGGAAACCAGGGGAATTGCTTTTCCGTCCCTCTTAAATCGGTTGCTCCTCAGTACTAAACATCCCATTACTTCCCTGCTGGGGAAACAGATTTTTTCTCCCATTCAATTTGTACGCATCTGCATGATTTCTCTTGGCGGAACGGGAGGAGCCCTTGGCTGCGGCTCCCGGGGCATGTCTCCCTGGGGCCTGCTTCGGCAATCGTGGCCGCAGCTCCCAAAACTCCCTCTGGGGCACGGGGCGTCCCCCTGAATGCTGCCTGTTCCTGCCGATCCCATCACCAGCGTTAGGCGAGGGAAGGCTGATTCCCAATCAGGAGTGTTTCGGACCGGTCACTTGGTCATTTTCTCTCCCCAGTGTAAAATAAAAAGATTGATGGAATTTGGCAGATACTTTACAGATATATTTAGTGCTCCGTAAACTGCTGACTTGCCTCCCAAACCGCAGATGCTGGCGGATAACGCTGGCTGCGCTTAGGAAGAGCAGGTTTGAGGCTTAGCCGATCTGTCGTCTCACCGAGAAATAAAAGCCCAGCTCTTGGTGGGACCCTTGTGGTCCCCGCTGCTCGGGCCAGGCGCCGAGGGGACGCGGTGGCCCTCTTGTGCCCCTTCTCAGGAGGCTGGGGTGCGCGCAGCTCCGTGGAGGCTGAGGCTGGCTTGCTGCAGGTGACGAGCTCCGTTTGGGGACGTCGGGGTGGCTCACACCTCGTGGGTGAAGTCGTGGGACGGAGACGGTGCCGCGGGGCAGAGAGCAGTCACCAGTGCCCGCCGTGACCACACCGGGGCAGGGGCCACACGGGGAAACAGCTCCATCCTCCTTCCGCGACGGCCGAGCTGCTGCTCGCCGTGGGTTAGCTCTTGCAAGCGTAATTTGGGTTATTTGCAGCCTCTGGGCCTTTTCTAGAGAGCGGGATGCTTGTGGAGCCGGGAGGGAACGGGGCTTCCAGGGGGGATCCGTGCAATTCCCAGGGCTGCTCCTGGCCTCCTTCCTGCCCTCCTTTAATCTCCTGCTCGAGCTCCAGCCGTCGGGCTGAGCCGCTTTCCTGCGGGGCGTTGCTGGCCTTCTCCTCTGCTGGCGCGGCTCCGTGTGCACCGGGAGGATTCGCTGGTGCCAGAGAGCGGCGGGGCTGTGGGTCGAGGGCTCCCAGCAAGCGCTGGGGGTCCCTGGTGCACACAAACCCTCGCCTCGTCCCTGGCCCTGAGCTACCCTTCGCTCGGGGAACTGCCCCGACCGCCACGGGCGTCCTCGTGCATGGCGCATCCCCGCGGCATCCCCATGGCATCCCGGCGTCTGCTGGGACCGCTCCAGTCCTGGCTGGCTGGAGGTGTCGCTGGGAAGCCGGAGGATGCAGCGGGGCAGCCGGGAGGGGCCCGGCGCGATGCGGCGGCAGGCAGAGCGGGCTGGTTAAATCATCGCGGGGCTGCTCCGTGCTGAGATACCGCAGGGTAGAGCAGCGAAACCCCGTGGGACAGCAGCGGGGCTGGCGGTGGGGTTTCTGCACGGCCGGGGGTGCTTCAGCAGCCCTGAGGCTGGCGGCGGAGCGGGGTCCTGCCCAGGGGACGCGGGAGCACGCAGCTGGGACGTGCGGGAGGCAGCAGGGCCATCCCTCCCCTTCTGGGCTCTTCTCCCACCTGGGGCCGGCGCTGGCCCAGAGGAGGAGGGCCGCAGGATCCTCCTGGCCGGGCTCAACCCGGCGGGGGGCTGCCCCGAGCAGCCTTCCCAAAAGCTGCTGCTCGGTCAGGGCCACGGCAAATCCCCGTCCAGGGACGGACCCCCCGAGTCCGGGCCCTTCCGCGCTCGCGGGGCTGCGGGGGAGCGCGGCGGGAGCCGAGCCCGGCCCTTCCCGCGCGACGCCGCGCTCTTAACCTCCTTCTTCTTCTCTTTCAGAACATCTTTCAGATGGTCAGGTCACAGCAGAGGGACGCGGCCACTTAGCCCCTCGTCACGGAAGAACGTAACCCCCCATTAACACTTAAAATTGTTATTGTATTAAAGCCCTTAAACTAAATATTATTAATAATAATACCATTTTGTGAACTTCATGTTTATGGAATTAAGCAACTAGGATAAATGGCGAGCTCGGCCGAGAAAAGAGGGGGAAACGGTGCCGGATGGCAGAGGAACGCCCGGGTGCGCCGGCTCTTCCTCCCGCTCGGGCCCTGTTCCGGAGGATGGACTGTGCTTTTATTTTTTACAACTGGAACTAGAAACGTCATCCATTTGCACTGTTCAGACGTATATATGTATGTAAAAAAAACAAAAACCCCACCACCCACCCCTAAAAAGCTATATATACAAATACCGTGCACGTATATACATATATATATTTCTTTTAAAATTTCATATCGGTGGCAGTACCTTTTTTAAGCTTGCGTTTTTACACGCATCTCTCCTCCCAACCCATCGTGGTTTTTTAAAAACTAACTTTAGAGAAAAAAAAAAACAGAAAAAAAGGAAGAAAAAAAAAAAAACCACCAACCAACAAAGACAGAAAGAAGCACCGTTACAGGGAAATACCTCTCCTGGCACGCTCCCCTCGCCGCCGGCGCGTCCCCGCGGTGCTCCCAGACCCTCGGGCTTTTCGGAGGAGAGCGGAGAGCGAAAACCGTCCGGCTTCAGCCACGGCGGCGAGCGACCTGCCCGCGGCTCGGGGGCCGAGCAGTGCCGAGGAGGAGAAATAAGGTAGAAAAGCTGCTTTCCCTGCTTTTGAGCAGGTTCTGTGTAGCTCCCCCCGGAGCCTTGGGGTTGGGGACATTGGGGAGATGCTGGTCCTGCTGCTGCCCCCCCCCGAGGAACACACACGTGCGGAGCGGGGGCGAGCATCGCGGCAACGCCACCGGCCCCCGGCACCGTGGGGTGGGAGGGAGGCGATGCCGAGCGGAGAAGGCCGTGGTTTGCTTAGCGCGGTGGTTTCCCCTTGCTGCCCGGGTTTTGGGAAGGGGTTTATCCCCCCCTCGCCTGCTGGGGAGAGGTGGGGAGAAGCCACGCGGCGAGGACAGGGCCGGGATGCCGGGATGTGGGCCGGGAAAAAATCAATTTAAAACCCAGCAGGGGAGAGAGACGCTGTCCCACGCCTGCCCCGGCCGCCGTGTCCCCAGCCACGCGTGTCCCCAGCCTCCCCTGGGTTTGGGGTTGAATTCCCGGCCGGGGCAGGG